GATTCATATGTACATTACACCTACTGTGTACTACGCAATGATGTGTATTATTGTGTAGTATCCTAGTACACTGTATTTTGGAGTGTCTTAAGCGGACAATAAAGACAACTACTTAGCCTACATGGTGTAAATTTGATCCTCTATTGGTTTATATTGGTCTTCTCTCATGTGAATCTGCAGCAGTAATATCTTGGACACTCCATGTGATTCTGTAGCAAACAGGGTTGCTGTGTGTACCCTCTTCAGGCATGGGAAGAGGCATGGAGGTGAACACTGTCTGAGCTAATTGCTCTATGCTCAGGGATTACACTCGCTGCCAAGAATTAAAAGCAGCATGTGTGTGTGCGTGTGTGCGTGTGTGTGTGTGTGCGTGTGTGTGTGTGTGTGTGTGTGTGTGTGTGTGTGTGTGTGTGTGTGTGTGTGTGTGTGTGTGTGTGTGTGTGTGTGTGTGTGTGTGTGTGTGTGTGTGTGTGTGTGTGTGTGTGTGTGTGTGTGTGTGTGTGTGTGTGTGTGTGCGTGCGTGCGTGCGTGCGTGCGTGCGTGCGTGCGTGCGTGCGTGCGTGCGTGCGTGCGTGCGTGCGTGCGTGCGTGCGTGCGTGCGTGCGTGCGTGCGTGCGTGCGTGCGTGCGTGCGTGCGTGCGTGCGTGCGTGTGTCTGTGTGTGTGTGTGTGTGTGTGTGTGTGTGTGAAGGGTTGAAGGCGGAGGCAACAAAACCAATACACTGAGGAATGTATAAAATACAGCTTCAGGATTGTAACTGCCAACAGCTTCTGGCATCATTCTTCATTCAGAACATTTCCCCTCATTTTCTGTAGAGAAATAGCATTCTGCCGAAGAGCAAACACTTGTATTCATGATAGGATAACTGACTTGGCTGGCCAGTTGTGTTCTTATACAGATGATGCAAGCCGGCTTCCACAGCTTTGGTGCTGTCAAGGGATTCACACTTTTTCTTTAATGGTTTGTTTTCCATCATTCACTTCCCTCCTTACAGAACCCCCTACAGTTTCCCAATAATGTCTCCTTCCTCCTGAAGTGTGCACTTGTTTACTACGCCCCACAAATGTAAAAGCATTAGATTGGTGAAGGCATGGGCTTGAGGGAGTTTCCGTATACCCTTAATTTCCATTCAAATGTATGAGGGGAAGTGAACAAGTGCACACATTGGGAGAAATTAGAGATTATTGGGATACAGCCCATGTTCTTAAGAAGTGGTGTATTGATATGAATGGAGACGTCCTATTTTGGTTGCTATATTTATGATATTCCATCTGATCCCTCTTCACACCTTTCTCAAACAAACCTGTCACCCCACATTCAATGTTTAAGTGTTTATAAAAAAAACTTTTGCCAGACACGGCAGGCACGAGGCCAAAATACTTAGACGACATGTCAACAAAGTATAACAGATTTCATTTGCAATGATGCAACTCAGTGCAGCACAACTAATCCGGATAGAGTTGGATTAACCTGTTTGAATGATTAAGTGTTCCATGCCCCCAGTGTTTTATTCATATTCTACACATTGCATTGGCTTTGTTCTGCTAGGCTACCAAGGGAAATACATCAGCCTCAAAATGTCAAGGCAGCGTCTTGTCTTCTTCTTGTTTTGAAAATTCTACAACAGAGTTGGAACATTGTTTTTATATAGATTATATATTATGTACACTACCAGTCAAAGGTTTGGACACCTACTCATTCAAGGGTTTTTCTTTATTTTTACTATTTCTTACATGGTAGAATAATGGTGAAGACATTAACATTATGAAATAACTCATACAGTTGAAGTCGGAAGTTTACATACACCTTAGCCAAAAACATTTAAACTCAGTTTTTCACAATTCCTGACATTTAATCCTCGTAAAAATTCCCTGACTTAAGTCAGTTAGGATCACCACTTTATTTTAAGAATGTGAAATGTCAGAATAATAGTAGATTGATTATTTATTTCAGCTTTTATTTCTTTCATCACATTCCCAATGGGTCAGAAGTTTACATACACTCAATTAGTATTTGGTAGCATTGCCTTTAAATTGTTTAACTTGGGTCAAACGTGTCGGGTAGCCTTCCACAAGCTTCCCACAATAAGTTGGGTGAATTTTGGCCCATTCCTCCTGACAGAGCTGGTGTAACTGAGTCAGGTTTGTAGGCCTCCTTTTCAAATCTGCCCACAAATGTTCTATAGGATTGAGGTCAGGGCTTTGTGATGGCCACTCCAATACCTTGACTTTGTTGTCCTTAAGCCATTTTGCCACAACTTTGGAAGTATGCTTGGGGTCATTGTCCATTTGGAAGACCCATTTGCGACCAAGCTTTAACTTCCTGACTGATGTCTTGAGATGTTTCTTCAATATATCCAATCAAGTCTACATGAAAATTGCTAAAAAGCAACAAATTGGAAGTTTTGGAATGGCCTAGTCAAAGTCCAGACCTAATCCCAATTGAGATGTTGTGGCAGGACTTGAAATGAGCAGTTCGTGTTTGAAAACCCACACGTCACTGAGTTAAAGCAGTTCTGCATGGAAGAGTGGGCAAAAATTCCTCCACAGCGACGTGAGAAACTGATCAACAACTACAGGAAGCATTTGGTTGGAGTCATTGCAGCTAAAGGTAGCACAACCAGTTATTGAGTGTAAGGGGGCAATTACTTTTTTTCACACAGGGGAATTGGGTGTTGCATAACTTTGTTTATGAAATAAATATGTAATTGTTGTGTTATTTGTTCACTTATGTTCCCTTTATCTGATATTAGGTTTTGGTTGAAGATCTGATAACATTCAGTATCACAAATATGCAAAAGTATAGAAAATTAGAAAGGGGGCAAATACTTTTTCATAGCACTGTGTATGTTTATATATATATATATATATATATATACACAGTGGGGAAAAAAAGTATTTAGTCAGCCACCAATTGTGCAAGTTCTCCCACTTAAAAAGATGAGAGAGGCCTGTAATTTTCATCATAGGTACACGTCAACTATGACAGACAAAATGAGAAATGTTTTTCCAGAAAATCACATTGTAGGATTATTAATGAATTTATTTGCAAATTATGGTGGAAAATAAGTATTTGGTCAATAACAAAAGTTTCTCAATACTTTGTTATATACCCTTTGTTGGCAATGACACAGGTCAAACGTTTTCTGTAAGTCTTCACAAGGTTTTCACACACTGTTGCTGGTATTTTGGCCCATTCCTCCATGCAGATCTCCTCTAGAGCAGTGATGTTTTGGGGCTGTCGCTGGGCAACACGGACTTTCAACTCCCTCCAAAGATGTTTTATGGGGTTGAGATCTGGAGACTGGCTAGGCCACTCCAGGACCTTGAAATGCTTCTTACGAAGCCACTCCTTCGTTGCCCGGGCGGTGTGTTTGGGATCATTGTCATGCTGAAAGACCCAGCCACGTTTAATCTTCAATGCCCTTGCTGATGGAAGGAGGTTTTCACTCAAAATCTCACGATACATGGCCCCATTCATTCTTTCCTTTACACGGATCAGTCGTCCTGGTCCCTTTACAGAAAAACAGACCCAAAGCATGATAGTTCCACCCCCATGCTTCACAGTAGGTATGGTGTTCTTTGGATGCAACTCAGCATTCTTTGTCCTCCAAACACGACGAGTTGAGTTTTTACCAAAAAGTTCTATTTTGGTTTCATCTAACCATATGACATTCTCCCAATCCTCTTCTGGATCATCCAAATGCACTCTAGCAAACTTCAGACGGGCCTGGACATGTACTGGCTTAAGCAGGGGGACACATCTGGCACTGCAGGATTTGAGTCCCTGGCGGCGTAGTGTGTTACTGATGGTAGGCTTTGTTACTTTGGTCCCAGCTCTCTGCAGGTCATTCACTAGGTCCCCCCGTGTGGTTCTGGGATTTTTGCTCACCGTTCTTGTGATCATTTTGACCCCACGGGGTGAGATCTTGCGTGGAGCCCCAGATCAAGGGAGATTATCAGTGGTCTTGTATGTCTTCCATTTCCTAATAATTGCTCCCACAGTTGATTTCTTCAAACCAAGCTGCTTACCTATTGCAGATTCAGTCTTCCCAGCCTGGTGCAGGTCTACAATTTTGTTTCTGGTGTCCTTTGACAGCTCTTTGGTCTTGGCCATAGTGGAGTTTGGAGTGTGACTGTTTGAGGTTGTGGACAGGTGTCTTTTATACTGATAACAAGTTCAAACAGGTGCCATTAATACAGGTAACGAGTGGAGGACAGAGGAGCCTCTCAAAGAAGAAGTTACAGGTCTGTGAGAGCCAGAAATCTTGCTTGTTTGTAGGTGACCAAATACTTATTTTCCACCATAATTTGCAAATAAATTCATTAAAAATCCTACAATGTGATTTTCTGGAGAAAAAAATGCTCAATTTGTCTGTCATAGTTGACGTGTACCTATGATGAAAATTACAGGCCTCTCTCATCTTTTTAAGTGGGAGAACTTGTACAATTGGTGGCTGACTAAATACTTTTTTCCCCCACTGTGTATATATATATATATATTATCCTAGTGCCAAATAATTGATGAGTGTGGATTGTCTTTGAATAATGTAGACTGCATGTGAGATGTCAGACAATAGTGATGCATGGTTTGTTTACTAGTGCATGCATTGTTAAGGTTCTCCAATCTATGGTATAGCAGGGAATTCCCCATAACATATGTGTATGAATTAGTCATGTCTACACTACAAACAGAAAAAACACTGAAATGGTATGCAGTGATAGCTATCAGAAGTTTCCTTTTACTGTGTTGTTCAATGCAGAAACAGTCAGGTCCCAGGCTACTTGTAGGCCTTCACTGACATTCTGTAACATTCCCCTGTGGCAAACCTCCTTTAAGGGATGGTTGAGTCACTTCCATTTGAAATCCTCATGGACAATTTTAGTTCCTTCTCTAAACTGACTATGCTAGAAAATACCTCAACCCTGATGGTGAGGTGACTATACCTGTGTATTATTTTCTATGTTCACATGAGTATTGTAACATATATTCCTTTCCAGCTGCACTCCAACTCAGACAAAGGAGATGGCTCAGTCAGATACCTGCTGTCTGGAGAGGAGGCTGGTACAATATTTGTCATCGATGAGGTCACAGGGGACATCCATGCCACCAAGAGCCTGGACCGGGAGAAGAAGGGCCAGTATGTCTTACATGCCCAGGCCATCGATCGTTACACCAACAGATCTCTAGAGCCAGAGTCTGAATTCATTATCAAGGTCCAGGATGTCAACGACAACGCGCCCATGTTTCCAGATGGCCCATTTGCTGCTGCTGTTCCCGAGATGGCCGACGTTGGTAAGGTCGAATACTGAAAACATACTTTTAATTCGCTGGGTGCACCTGACTGGAGGCAGCCAGCTTTGTACCCTGATTGTGAGACCAGTCACACCATTGGCTGAGTCATCAGTATTGTTGCAGATCCCTGCTGCATCACAGAGGCAGTCAGGCATTGATGCACAACTCTGTAAATGGATTTTGACGGTCCCGATACATGATTTTGATCAATTGGGAGTGGCCTCACTTTATGCGATACAAAACACTCTGTGGTCTTTTTTTCATGTAGTTTTACAATAAGAAAACCTTGACAATATAGTGAGTTGTGCAACAGTATGTAAATGTAGTTTGTACTGTAGTCATGGCACATTGTACTTTAGTTGTATGGGTTTTGTGTGGAAATGCAGTACTGATACAACCTTTCCTTCCATGCAGGCACATCAGTGTTTCAGGTCACAGCCACAGATGCAGACGACCCCACCTATGGGAACAGTGCCAAGATTGTGTATAGCATACTGCAGGGACAGCCTTACTTCTCTGTGGATCCTAAAACCGGTGAGCTAACCAGCCTTTTACTTAACATTTACTGCAATATAACGCTGCATGTGTGAATTGTTTCTGCCAAGTGATAAATTAGCTTTGTTCTATTGTGTTTTATTGGGTGTTGATAGTTGAATTCAGGCTGTTAAGCTGTGAAATAGGATCAAAGTGCCTCATTATGATGTTTAACGACACTGCTGATTACAGAGCCAATAGCTCAAATTGTTTCTAGTTTTAGAGATGGCTGCGGGTTTGAATTGGTCAAAATAAATGACACAGTCGAGGGAACAGCAACAGCATGCCTCTGTCTTCACAGAATCCTTAATGACGATATTTTAGTGTACAAAGTGCTATGTGAACGTCACAGGGTCCAGTGCCTTATAGTGCCAGAAAGCCCCACCCATCTGCTTTCTGCTATCACTCTGTCAGCGTACCTGACTTGAAGTGTCAGGTTTCACACCCAACATTTACCTAGGGTGTGACGTGTCACATTTTCTGGCCTATCCAGACAAAGAATCGATTTCATCTCCCTCTGAGCAACTAAGCCCAGCCTGGGACACAGCATTTTAAAGGTGGCAGTCTGGCGACTTCAGCAATCGTGGGTTTATCTCACTGTGATATTCTCAGCCGGATTTAGAGCTCTCAACATGAAAAAATTATAAATACTTTCGTAAAATTTTAACCAAAACATGTTCTCTTGGTCATTGAGGAACGAAATCACTTTGTGCGTAAAGCTGAAGTTGTAACAAGTCTGCAGACATTCGAATGGCGTCTCTGCATCTCTCAGAGGAGGCTTGGCAGAAAATGCTCTGTCATCAGTTATATGAAATGGGGCCAAATTTGTACTATGATCATATTTACTTTACAGTTATAAGAAAGGTGAAATCTTATAGCAAGTCATTTATAATTTGATTGTTACTGTATTTAGAAATAATTTCAGTCATTTCAAACCCTATTCCCCCACTTTTGTTGAATAGGAAAATAATGATATATGATTTTAAATATTTAACAATGTACTTGAGCTTGTGTCTTCAAAAGTAAGTACACCTCAGCAATTTATAACTATTTTTACCAAAAAGGTGAGTTCCAGACCTTTCTAGAACTATGCAGCAATACTAGTTATTGTTTATGGCCATCTCATGAAAATATAAATTATCTTGGGTATGTCTATATAGGTGGAAATCTACATTTTGCAGTAACGTTCAAGAGGTTATTAATTCGGCATCAGTGTTACATGGTGTCAGGGAGTATTTCACCTAAGGAAGACATAAATGACATTAACTGACTTAAATAGGTAGGACTAATAACAATTACAAATAATTTGAATTTGGGAAGTCAAGTTACAGAAATGATGAAGAGAGAGTGGAAAATTTGAACTACTTTGCCCTGCAGGCCACATAGTTTTACCTGGTCACATAGTCAGCAAAAACCTCCTGGCCTTGATTATTATATGCAATATGCCTGTGTATCCATACCATGATTCATGCCTTCTAAGCTTTGACAATGGCTTTAGTAATTGAAATTAATGGTGAAACAGCCACGTTCGTTTGCGATATTACAACAACTAAGAAGTTACTGCAAACAACAAACACGTTTTTTCCCCTCTGAGATCATTGCACGCGTGATAGAAGAGCACAATATGTACAGCAATGCTTTTTACCATGCTGCGCGACTCCTCTCGGCAACAAAAACAATAACAACGGTGGTGAGGCAGCCAGTAGCTCTGTTTCCCCCAACTGCGGATTCCATTTATCGAAAAGGTATCAAGTATCAAAGGGATACAGTGGGGGGAAAAAGTATTTAGTCAGCCACCAATTGTGCATGTTCTCCCACTTAAAAAGATGCGAGAGGCCTGTCATTTTCATCATAGGTACACGTCAACTATGACAGACAAAATGAGAAAAAAAATCCAGAAAATCACATTGTAGGATTATTAATGAATTTATTTGCAAATTATGGTGGAAAATAAGTATTTGGTCAATAACAAAAGTTTCTCAATGCTTTGTTATATACCCTTTGTTGGCAATGACACAGGTCAAACGTTTTCTGCAAGTCTTCACAAGGTTTTCACACACTGTTGCTGGTATTTTGGCCCATTCCTCCATGCAGATCTCCTCTAGAGCAGTGATGTTTTGGGGCTGTCGCTGGGCAACACGGACTTTCAACTCCCTCCAAAGATTTTCTATGGGGTTGAGATCTGGAGACTGGCTAGGCCACTCCAGGACCTTGAAATGCTTCTTACGAAGCCACTCCTTCGTTGCCCGGACGGTGTGTTTGGGATCATTGTCATGCTGAAAGACCCAGCCACGTTTCATCTTCAGTGCCCTTGCTGATGGAAGGAAGTTTTCACTCAAAATGTCACGATACATGGCCCCATTCATTCTTTCCTTTACACGGATCTGTCGTCCTGGTCCCTTTACAGAAAAACAGCCCCAAAGCATGATGTTTCCACCCCCATGCTTCACAGTAGGTATGGTGTTCTTTGGATGCAACTCAGCATTCTTTGTCCTCCAAACACGACGAGTTCAGTTTTTACCAAAAAGTTATATTTTGGTTTCATCTGACCATCTGACCATATGACATTCTCCCAATCCTCTTCTGGATCATAGCAAACTTCAGACGGGCCTGGACATGTACTGGCTTAAGCAGGGGGACACGTCTGGCACTGCAGGATTTGAGTCCCTGGCGGCGTAGTGTGTTACTGATGGTAGGCTTTGTTACTTTGGTCCCAGCTCTCTGCAGGTCATTCACTAGGTCCCCCCGTGTGGTTCTGGGATTTTTGCTCACCGTTCTTGTGATCATTTTGACCCCACGGGGTGAGATCTTGCGTGGAGCCCCAGATCGAGGGAGATTATCAGTGGTCTTGTATGTCTTCCATTTCCTAATAATTGCTCCCACAGTTGATTTCTTCAAACCAAGCTGCTTACCTATTGCAGATTCAGTCTTCCCAGCCTGGTGCAGGTCTACAATTTTGTTTCTGGTGTCCTTTGACAGCTCTTTGGTCTTGGCCATAGTGGAGTTTGGAGTGTGACTGTTTGAGGTTGTGGACAGGTGTCTTTTTATACTGATAACAAGTTCAAACAGGTGCCATTAATACAGGTAACGAGTGGAAAGAGGAGCCTCTTAAAGAAGAAGTTACAGGTCTGTGTGAGCCAGAAATGTTGCTTGTTTGTAGGTGACCAAATACTTATTTTCCACCATAATTTGCAAATAAATTCATTTAAAATCCTACAATGTGATTTTCTGGATTTTTTTCCTCAAATTACAGGCCTCTCTCATCTTTTTAAGTGGGAGAACTTGCACAATTGGTGGCTGACTAAATACTTTTTTTCCCCACTGTACCTGCCGACTGTTCTGTAGTCTAGCATTCTTAATCCCCCTTCGTCTCATTGTAAAAAGGCTCTCAGACATCTTGTTCTTTGCTTTGAAGACCTAAGAGAAATTAAAAAAGCCTTGAAGAATTGTTAAAAACATCCACCCAAGCAAAATACATCTTCTGTGAGGATGCTTTTCAAAGGATTCCACTCAATATCAATAGAGTTAGTTTAAAAATTGCTAAATGTTTGTGGCTGTGGTGTGTGTCTGTGCGTGCATGTGTGTGTGTGTGCGTGTGACAGAGATATACAGTATATACACTGAACAAAAATATAAACTCAACATGCAACAATTTGAAAGCTTTTACTGAGTTACAGTTAATATGAGGAAATCAGTCAATTGAAAAAAAATTACAAATTAAAGGTATGGGCGTGTATCAGAAAACCAGTCAGTATCTGGCGTGACCACCATTTGCCTCATGCAGCGTGACAGATCTCCTTTGCATAGAGTTGATCAGGTTGTTGATTGTGGCCTGTGGAATGTTGCCCCACTTCTCTTTAATAGCTATGCTAAGTTGCTGGATATTGTCTGGAACTGGAACATGCTGTCGTACACGTAAATCCAGAGCATCCCAACCATGCTCAATGGGTGACATGTTTGGTGAGTATGCAGGCCATGGAAGAACTTGGACATTTTCGGCTTCCAGGAATTGTGCACAGATCCTTGCGACATGGGACTGTGTATTATCATGCTGAAACATGAGGTGATGGCAGCGGATTAATGGCACGTCAATGGGCCTCAGGATCTCGTCACGGTATCTCTGTGCATTCAAATTGCCATCGATAAAATGCAATTGTGTTTGTTGTCCGTAGCTTATGCCTGCCCATACCATAACCCCACTGCCACCATGGGGCACTCTGTTCACAATGTTGACATCAGAAAACCGCTCGCCCACATGACGCCATACATGCTGGCAGTTGAAACTGGGATTCATCCGTGAATTGCACACTTCTCTAGTGTGCCAGTGGCCAATGAAGGTGAGCATTTGCCCACTGATGTCAGTTACGACGCCAAACTGCAGTCATGTCAAGACCCTGGTGAGGACGACGCGCACGCATATGAGCTTCCCTGAGACGGTTTCTGACAGTTTGTGCAGAAATTCTTCAGTTGTTTCATCAGCTGTCCTGGTTACTGGTCTCAGACGATCCTGCAGGTGAAGAAGCCGGATGTGGAGGTCCTGGGCTGGCATGGTTACAAGTGGTCTGCGGTTGTGAGGCCGGTTGGACGTACAGACAAATTCTCTAAAACGACGTTGGAGGCGGCTTATGGTAGAGAAATTCAGTTCTCTGTCAACAGCTCTGGTGGACATTCCTGCAGTCAGCATGCCAATTGCATGCTCCCTCAAAACTTGAGACATCTGTGGGATTGTGTTGTGTGACAAAACTGCACATTTTAGAGTGGCCTTTTATTGTCCCCAGCACAAGGTGCACCTGTGTAATGATCATGCTGTTTAATCAGCTTCTTGATATGCCACACCTGTCAGATGGATGTATTATCTTGGCAAAGGAGAAATGCTCACTAACAGGGATGTAAACAAATATGTGCACAACATTTCAGAGAAATAAGGTTTTTGTATGTATGGAACATTTCTGGGACCAACACTTTACATGTTGCGTTAATATTTTTGTTCAGTATATAT